TGCTTTATATTTTCTTCTATTGTTATCTCTGAAGAAGTGTGATGAGTGATGAACTGCGATGATAATAGTGGAAATATATTTGCTGTATTAACTACATTTCAGTAAATTTTATTTACAATTTTTACTCTCTGACCTTAAAGACCTGCAGTTCTACCAGAGAACCCATCTCACTCCCTACATTTCCCTATTTATAAGTAAACTGATTTTTCTTCTGCAGTATGTATCTTTAATGGAAGGCCTGAAACAGGAGATATTCTTCACCAACTAGGATTATTTCCATATTTCAACAAGAGATTTTGGCCATGGGTGGTAGGATGGGGGTGGAGAGCAATTTAAAGCAACTCCCCAGCTTCTTGATGCCATTTGCATCATTCTATCATGTAAATTTGGGAACATGAAAACTGCTAAAAGTAGTCAGATTAGAAGTCCATGAATTCCTGTATCTTACACCTGACAGTGTCTGGCAACAGATGCTTATAGGGGAAGAACATGGGGAATACAGGAAGGGTACATCCTCCATCTGTTAACTTCAAGCATGTTTGTGATATTAGTATGAGCACTGTAGCATTCAGGTTCTGTTTAGATCAAAGAACTATCTAATCACACTAAGCTGAGGATTATTTCCATGTAATATCTGCTTGCTTTTATTTAATATTCCTCTGTGCATGGAAGGGGGATGCGCAGAAGGCAGAGCCAGACTCTTCCCAGGGGTGCACAGTGAACAGACAAGAGGCAACAGACACAGTCGCATCAGGCAGAGTTTTCAATGAGATTGGTGAAGCACACAAACAGGAGCACAGAGAGGCTGCATAGTCTTCATTCATAGAGAATTACAAAACACTGAAGTTAGCGCTGCTTGGAGCAGGAGGTGAGAATTGACAACCACCCTTTAGACCTAAGATATTCCATGATGCCAGCAATAAAACCCTCCTAAACATTCAGTTAAAAAAACGAAGAGGTTTAGGCCATAAGTAAAATGAAACCTTATTTCAGTGATTTGAGGACAGGTATGCTGTTTTAGTAAATTGAAAATCTTCCTACTTACTTTCTTTTACCTTCACAAGGAACTGGGGACAAACAAAAGTCAAATGAACCTATAAGCATGTTTTGCACCCAGACAGCATAGACTAATTTCAATTAGGGACCATACTGAATAGGAAGGCTGTGGTAAGTGCTCCACTTCACTTGTAACAGTTTTCCTACTGTGGCTTCAAGTCCCACATGAAAAGACAGGCTTACAGAGGTTTTTAGGCACTTTACACCTATTGACTGCAGTTGTAGCAATACCCCTACTCTTCTGTGTTGCTGAAAGCACTCTTTGGTGTTTATTGCACTGTAGATGCTTAAGTATCATGAAAACTTGGCTTTGAAATATTTTACGATTTATTTTAAAGAATTTAACTGGATCACTGAAACACTGTTTAGTCTAATAGCCTACATATTTCAGTCTGACAGATTCCCACCACATACTCCAAGTACTCGGTTTAGAAAAAAGCACCTAGCCACCATAGGTGATGAAGATGATGGAGATAACTGAGAAGAGAAGGAAACTGAGAGACATTCAAGATCCATCTCTGCACTGAAAGGCAACTCTCTATTGCCAAGTGAAAGCATTTGGCGGTAACCTCCCTTAACTCTCCAAAACAAGAATAAAACAAGCTCTCATCCAGGAAGGATACCATTGCCATTCTAGTCACCTGGAGGGTGAAGTGCTTGTAGATTTAGCATTACTAAAGGAACAAGCAGACCAACGTGCAATGAACAAGTGAAACTGGCAGCTCAATTTACTATTACCAAGCTACTGCAGTACTTAAGACTTATTTCAGAGGAAGGTTGAAGCAGCACTGGCAAACTAATAAGGAACTGTAATATGGGCATAACTGGAAATCAATTTCAGCAACCAAAAGACTCAGATTTATAAAAAGCTAAAATAACAGAGCATGCCTTGGTACATTTGGTGGGAATAGGTGTGTATATTAAAAGTAATTTCAGTATCAGAAAACTTAATTATCTTATGGCAGTGCTCATCTTGGAGAAAGAAGCAATATCTCACACAAAAGCAAGTGCCTTTACTTTGATCTGCGGAAGCATCAAGGCAACTGTGATATAGCACTGAAGAAGATTCATCCTTTCCCTCTCCACTGCCATGTGTAGCACACTGAAAATAGGACTGACGTAGCTGTTTTTATGTGGTGTCTTGTTTTAATTCTGCAGACCATTTTTCAAGACTATGAAAAGTAACAGAATTTTCAGCACCTCTGCATTAGGAAACATCATCTTCCTCTCATTCTCACAATAATCTCCAGATATGGGATGCATTTGAAGCAACTCCTACATTGCCTCTGTATCATCAGCTCTGAACCATGATGAACTACCAGAAGAGAAAACCACACAACACACCAAAAAAACCACACAAAAAAACCCACAACCCAACAAACCACCCAACAAAACCCAAACCCCACAAACCCAACCCACCCACCAACAAAACACCCCAACCAAAAAACACAAAACAACAAACACCAACACCAACAAAACCACACCACACAACCACAAAAACACCCAAAAAAAAAAAAACCACAACACAAAAAACCAAACCCACAACAAAACAAAACAAACCAACAAACTTGCATTGAACTTTAACAGCAGTTCATCACTGTTAGTTTTGTTGTTATAATTAAAAAAAAATCAATAAATTTCCTTCTCACTTGAGATCAAGTCCGTTTGCAGACACTACTAACTTAACAGGGCACAAATAAAGCATGATGCTTCCTGTTGTTCTATTAGCACTAGACTATCTGTAGGTGTTTAAATGTTCACTTCACTATCCAGTCAGTGTGGACTTGCTTTCATTTAGCCAATCATTTCATTGGTAGCACAGCTATACTGATGGCAGCTGGTAAATTTCCAGAGGCATCAGGCACATATCTCACCTGGCATTCAAGTCTGGTCTGCATCCTCTGCTACCTGTTAAATATGCCAGCACCTCACACTGCTTTTGTGCATTTGCATGGCAAACATCAGAGAAGTCCATCGGCTTACTTCTTTAGCTTTCTACTAGTTGAAGTATGCTTCAACTTTGCAGAGGCTGTCAAACAAAGCAGTTGATACCATTCGCTGGGTCTACTGTCAGCAGAAGAGCCGGTAACTCCAGGCTCAGACCTCACTGCACCAAGCTGCCCCAGAGGCATACATAGTGATCCAGCTGCAGAGCAGCCCACATCTGCATACTTGTACAATGCCATGCATTCTGCATGTGTCACATCACATATTGAACTACTGACTACCAGATGGTATCAGGCATTTCTGACTGGTTAGTTATCTCCTTGCTAAGAATGCTCTCAAGTCCCAGTACCTACCAAAGCTATGTATGGCATTTGAACATCTTTTTAGTTCTGTGTTTCCCAGGGTGACATCTGTCCTCATCCCAGAATTCTTCAAGTGTCTAGTCGCCATACTTCTAAGTGATCTAGTAGAGTGCAATCTGTTTGTGCAAGTCAGCCTGATGGTTGCTTCTCAGCTGCATTATGAATAACTCCTTCAATTCAATTGCACCAGTATACTAAGATTTCCCATTTTTGAGGACTTGGAGAGCTTGCTTGTATTGAGCTGCAACATCTTACAATTCTGTGTTTCTTGTTATGTTTAAATTACTGAGAAACTCGGGTACATTGATACCAAAAGCTGATTCATCTCAGTAACTTTGCTTTGACATGCTGTGGTGGTTCAGGAATCTTATCAGCCTCATTTAATCACCTGCAACGATATGGAGAGACTCACTTCTATTCTGGGCCCAGTCTAGCATGTGCAATGAATTCTGCTTCAAACTGTGCTTGGCTAAGGACTGCTGGATTAAGCAGGGCATCTTCAGCAGTCACGCTCTCTCTGCAAGCTGGCACCCCAGCACACTGAATGCACAGGACATCCTGGGGGGCATAATTTGCAACCTCTGAAAGCAGTCAGACAATGTCAGAAAGATTTCAACTTTAAACCTATTGATAGCTTACCAAGGTATATTTACACATATGCATGCTTTTTAAAGCTAAGTTTATGGAAAGAGAAAGCAACAGAGAATGTGAACTAGTTCAAAATTTGGGACGTAAATAATGATAGAGAATACAACTTGGGCTTCCTAGGAAAGTTTAGAGAATGTTTAACAGCAAAAATATAACCCTCAGAGCCACCCTGGGAAAGATGTAAAAATAGGAAAAATCAATTAAAAGTGAAGATCTTTAGCACTTCCAGAACACACTCAGTACATTTAAGTAATTTGGAGTTGTGGGATATGTGCTTAAAGTCCTGTTCACTTGCCACTTAAGCAGTCTCTACAAAAAGCTTCCCCGACTCTTTTTCATTTTGATTTATTCCAGGACAATGACCTGTTGCAACGAGATGATATCCACAGCTTCCTTCCCGAGCTTAAGTTTCTCCCATACCATTCCCATAGCCCTTTCTCCCCCACTCTTAAGATTAAAAAAAGAAACAAATACTCTTGGTAGACTTCTTTGAATGCCAGGCTTTGGCTGGCTAAAAAAAAATAATTCCAGGCAAGTTATCAGAGATTTAGGAGGAAATCTTCTATTCTAAAATCTATACAAAGTATTGTAGTGCTATAAGGTCAGGGCATACATGGTTGGGAGGGGGAGTGAGGACAGGGGTACACAAATTCTTAGTATTTAGTTTGCTGATCTATCTCAGTCTTCTACCCCAAATCATCATAACTAATTTGTAATGCACAACAAAATCCTCTTTTCTTTATGAATGCTTTCAAATAATTCTAGGTAAATATATAAACAACTGTCAAACCTTACAACTGCACTTCATTTAGGTCACTTTCTATTACATTAATAAGATCCCAAAAGGATAGCACCTCTGAAATCTGCTTTAGGATTTCATTTGTATTTACTTTTCATTTAAATTTTTCTGCTGTTAATGACAATATCACACTAAGGTTTAATCAGCTAGATCTTGATGATGCAACAAGTACCACTATAAGCAATTACCTGCTACACCCTCCCCTGCATAGCCAGTTTTTCCCATCAGCCAAAAACTCCAAATCTATCCTGAAAATCAAAACAAAAGAGCACAAATAAAACATTTTCCTTTGGGGAAAGCTGGGTCAGCTACACAAAGAAATAAATCAAAATTCATTACATGAAAACGTCTCCAATAAGAATATTTTTTTCCTTTTAAAGGAGAAGAAATTAATTTAAACCACTCTTTAGAAAACAAAGCAGAAGAGAAATGCACCCTTCCCTTCTCCCTACCCAGCTCCCACTCTCTGAATCCTTCCTCCTGGCACGTACTTTTTGGGTTCAGCCGTAAGCATCTCCCCTCCCTCCGTACATCTGCTCTGTGCAGGACTGCCGAGCTGGAACTCATGACGAGGAGCATCTGAAATCCCAGGGTTTAAAAAGCCACTCGCAAGCAAGCCCTCCTCCGCTCCCAGCCTGACAGCTCTGGGAGCATATCGAACCGCAGCACTAACCCACAGCAAATCACCGATCCCGTTATTCAGCCTGACTGGTCCCACCACAAATGTTTCAAGTGCAAAGGATTACTTAAACAAAAAACAAACAAAAAAAAACCCCCAAAATCCCACAACAGCCTTTTTGTTTTGTTATTATTGCATATATTTTATATTTTTTTTAAGGGTGACTGCCCAGAGGAGTTTGTTTCCAGAGCATCCCAGCTGGCTACCTCTGCTCAGCACAACGCAGCAGCACCTCAAGCCTCCAAGGGTACCACTCCCGAGGCTGGGCATCGTCAGGCAGTCAGTGCCGTGGAACTCTGTCTGCTCCGTACCTGCTCCCTGCAGTCTTGGGTGGGCAGCCAGGGAGGGAGGGTGAATCTTGCATGTCCCTCACAGCGATTCACATCACTGTCCTCTTATGCTTTTGCTGCCAGAAGCCTGGCTCTGCCTTCCCCATAACCCCCCCTCTAGGTGGCTGAAAACAGCAGCCAAGCCCCCCCACCGCCACCCCCTTCACCCCCCACCTCTCCTGGTTGGTCAAACCCAGCTCTGGCTTTCACTTTGCATGCCCTGTGCTCCATCCCTAAGGCCCATGAACCCCCATGGCTAGGGTGGCTCTGCCCTGCTGCCAATATGAGCAGCCACATGCCTGAGCCCACAGCTGGGTTTCTTGCGGGGCTGTCAAGGAGCAGGGACTGGGTATAAAAACAGAAACTCACCCTGGAATTACCAAAATTTCATCTGCAGCACGTGCCTCAACGTTCGAGCATCTGCTGTCCTGGAGATGCTGTATAACCACAAAAGTAAAGTGAACGGCACCAACTGGGCCACAGGAATTTCGTACTTACAGCATCTTGTTGGTGTCATGTTTGTAAAGCCGAGCTCTCTCCAGAGGCACTGAAACGTGATGAAAAGAGCAGGGATCTGATGGCAGGCATGCTGTCCAAGAGCCTCTTTCTCTTGCAGTCTGGCCAGAAAGACATCACAAAAATAGATACATTTTTATCCCTATTTTTTCTTTCCAATGCATTGACAATATTTTCAACAAGACTGGTTTCAGCATTCCTCTTTTAAAAGACATGAATAGAGAGGATTTGTGAGACTGAGCTTTGTCTGGAGAAAAAGTGCTCAAAGTAGTAGAGTGTGGAGTAGAAATAGCAAATTAAACATGATATTCCCCCTCTATCTGGAACATGAGAATGATCACAGCTTAACAATATTTCTGCCCCCAGATTAGCTCTTTTAACTGATGTTTTTAAAGGTGATAGGAAATAAACTACAGACATAAAACTTACAAATATGGCAAACATATATACCCCACAGATAATCTGTAAAATGCTGAAGGATACAGCAGAACGTCCTAAATTGCAGGCTTAGATTTCAATACAGAGCTTGCTTTGGCATTTAATATACTAAAGACACGATGGACATGTTATCATAAAATGAATAATCTGCCAGAACAGGAAAAATAAAAGTGCTTCAGTGAAAACACAATATGCTGTTATGCATTGTACTATAAAAGCCAAAATTATGATATCATTGTCAAACAAATGTTCAGACATTGGTACTGTCTGTTGATCATTATTACTTCATCCTTGGCTTTCATTCCTTATTGAGCCACCTTATTTCCTTTCAGTTATCTGACTTGACAAGTCAAGTAAACTTCCCTCCTGTGAAGATGACAAGTAAAACACAGGATCGGTATTAGCTGCTCTCATAGGCAACTGTACCTTGGTTTATCATGCTTTATTTTTCAGGTCAGCCTTTGACTTCAGGTCAGCCTCTGTGATCTGGGAGCTGCAGATATGTTTGGAAGCAAGCTGCATTTTTCTTTCCTTTGATTTATATGCTCCAAGCTCTAACCCACCAAATGACACCTATTTCAGACATCATAACAGTTACATAGCTTTTTTCTTCTTTGTTCATTGCATCTATTACCTGAATGATGTGATCCATTAGATTACCTTTATTGCCCTTAAAAATATTACGATTTATGTCCTATATGTATCACGAGACATCAAGTATTTGCTAACCTTGCAACTTTTTCCATAAACACTGGCTTTCAGAGGACAATTTATACACAGTTTCACAAGTACTATATACTGTCTTTGTAGTCTCAGGACCTGTAGATTCATAATTTCTTGGCTGATAACGTATTTTATCATTAACACATTTTAATTTTTTGTTAAGGCAACAGAAGCCCCATGAGGAATGATCAGCCCTCTAACATCCACAGATGGGTTCCCTTTTTAACTCTACTTACAGAAATGTGAAATGCTGCTCTCTGAAACAATGAGAGACCTGATGAACTGTTCAGGTGTCCTTTCTGAGGAACTGCTTACTTTGCTTGTGTTGTTGTTCACTCCTACATCTGCAAGCTGGAGCTGAAACTTCTCTGAGGTCAGGCCACCACACACAATACCTCGCAGAGCTGGACTCAAAATGAACCCCATTTTGTGTGAGGTATTCAAATTAAAGCTAAGAATTGAATAAGAAGGGAAAGTTAAATGCCAACTAAAGCAAACTTTTGCAAGTTTCAGATATGTTTAGACTGACAGGGTTTTGATTGATGGTTTGAGTTGGCTTCATGAATGACAGAGTTTAGGTGCAATTAAGCCTCCAGCTAGTGACTTACTGGACTCATGTCTCACACAGCTCTCTTCGCTGCACTTACACCAGGATTAGTTCTTCATCAGACCTTTCTATTTCAGCTCTTTGTAATTAATCCTGGGACATAGGAAAATACTGTTAATCATTCAAGTGAATACAACCAGACAAAGTATTTGGACTCACTGAGTATTATGAACTGCATTTACATGCTTAAACTCATTACGTGCTTGAATAAAAAGCACTGAAAATCAGTACTTTAAAATTAGTCACTGGAAACAGATCGCTCAAGTAACTAAGGAAGTAGTAGGTAAGGTCAAGGTCCTAGGCTAAGGAACTAATGGCAGTAACTCCATGTGGAGAATTAAAGAAACCAACAGATCACTGAACAAAATGCAGGAGAAAGTATACTTTAAAAAAGAAGAAAAAAGAAAAAAAAAAAAGGAAAATGAAGCAGAGCAGTTTAGGATGAATAATAGCTCTTTACATGTCTATGACACCTTCCATCCCACAGGCTCCCAAAGCAGTTGGGAAATTTAACAAATTGAAGGACATTATCTACTGTACACTGAAATCCTTTTATCTGTCACTGAAGGTATCCCCGCTGGGTGAAAAAGCAGTGTCTCTTTAACAGGTTAGATTTGTTGTGACAAATACCACATCTAAGTGAAGCTACAGGGAGAGTATAATTGTCAACAGCCAGAACCGGTGCTGAATCCTGGATTGAGCACTGGTTGGGAAAGGTCTGCTAGTATTTGTCCAGTTACCACTGGTGATGAAGACTTTATCACAGATCTTGCACACCTGCCATGCCCAGGGCAGGCATTTTCATGAGCCAGCTCCTTGGGACACCAGTCTCAACATGAGGTGCCTTCACAATCCATAGCCCCACTCCTGGCAATGCTTGAGTGCTATGTTCATCAGACAGAGAGAGAGCAGAGATTGACTGTAAACATCCAGGCACAAAGACAGAAGCTCCTTGAAAATCTGCCAACATTAGCAATACAGGGTAAGAAAGCAGGCTAAATTCACTGTGCCTTAAGGACTATTATCTAGAACAGCAACAAAAGCAGAATCACACCAAAAATCTCCTCCAGGCTACACATTCAGTGGTGTGGGAGCAAATGTCACACTGCCCTTCTCTCACAGTCATGTCACGGATCTCAGTCTCTTTAAGGGTTTATGGCCATACTTGTGGCCACTGATACTATGATCACTAAAGAGTGCAAACCAAGGCAAATACAGCATGACTATTAGAAAACCCCGAAACAACAAAAAACTGGCAGAAAGAAGAGAATTTAATGAAAGAGAAGTACACGACCACTGAACTGGTATATTCGAGCTTTAAAAGGAAAAGAAATAGCATCCAAAGCCGCTTCCTGATTTGCTGTTGGACTAAAAAAAGGGTTAGGTTTTCAAAGATAGATGGATAATCTACAGTCACATGTGCATTTTGGGATGGCACAGAAGCATATTTGTAAATGTGTTCTGAGCTGTAGAATAAGGAAGAGTAAAATAAAGGGTGAGAACAGAATCGCATGCCAATGAGCAAAATGGATTTACTCAGCAGCCCATGTTGTCCAATGGTTTAAAGTAGCTACAAGGTTGAGTCAGGAATTAATCTCGGGATTGTTATAAACTGCAATGCAACACTCAGTGTCATCCTACTGAGCTTCTGAGAACACTGAAAAGTCTCACATGTTTCACATGGCAGCTGAAATATTTTAATTGCATTAAATGGTGCTCCTCTGACATCCGTCCTATCCCCTTATTCCACTAGCAGGAATGAATTACCAGGAGTCAGCCCTGAATTTTCACCCCAGGTTCATCCTTTCCTAGAGTCCTTTCTGTGGAAAGAACAACCCAGGCAAGATCCACTCTCAGTCTTGTTCCTCAGGTGAGGGCATTCATTGTCTTGGGTACAGGATTCTTTAGCCAAAAGTTTTGTGGTCTTTGTGGCCTTTGGAACTTGAGAGGGACTTCAGCACCAAGCCACATCCAAGGAGTTTTATGTCTGTTGGAGACTGACAATGGCAGAGGAAAAAATGCAAATGTCAAAGGGCCACAGGGCAAAGGAAGAGGAATTCAACTCCATAGTCCACTGAGGAGACATTCACCTGGAAGACTGGCTCTTAGCTGGTGCTTGTGGCACTGGTACATACCCTCTAGAAAGACTGAACTGAAACAGAAATGGACCTGTCCTGGAACAGAGTTCTCAGATCAACGTCTCTGCTGTGCCACCAATCCTGTAAACCAACTACAAATTATGGTTGTTTGGCGAAATTTCAGCAGACAAAATTCAATAGTTTACTTTTAACTCTCTTTTTGGTTGAAAAACACACTTGTGATACAAGAATTTTCCATGGAAAAGACACTGATTTTTTAGTAACTCAGAAGTTTTCCTCTGGCTTCATTCAATCACAAAGTTTTCTCCAAGAACTGATGGAAAAACACTGAAAGTCACAACTTTTGCTGCAAAAGTCATGGCAGTGACAGCTACACAGATGTTTTGTGTTGTACTATTATCTTCCATACTGAAATTTTCTATTTCTGGTCAAAGGTGACTTATTTCTATAAAAAGAAACATTTTCACACTTCAAATGCTTAAAACAAAATCCTTTTGCCTAAAAAGCCAGCCTAGAGAACTTAATCCTGGAAGCTGAATTCATCAGGGTCTCATCAATGCTTAAAAGGACTCTTTGTAATGAGGTTAAAAAACAGAAACCCAAACTTGTTACTGGCTCCCTAATTCAAACACTTTTAAAAAGAGACATGCCAAAACAAGGAAGCCCTCATAGGTCTTCAGTTTCTATATGCTAAAGGAGGGAAGAATAATAGTTGGATATAAGGTAACTGTGACCAGCATGACCTTGAAGAGCCAAAGAAACAATTGTTAAAATCCAGAAGGAATACACCTTAGGCAACATCCATGCTACTGCCCAAATGTCCCAGCCCCAAACACTTAGCAGAAAATGCTCTGCCCTGTTAAGTGCTGGCTCCGGCGGATCCAGCACAGCACCTAACAGGGCTCTGACAATCCCTGGTGATAAGGTGACATCAGTTTTGCATGTACCAGGCAAAATGCTTGCAGGGAATGGCCTACCATGTCCTAACTATGGCACTTTGCAGAGTGCGGCGATGGAAGCACGTGTGATGTGACCTTGAGCTTTGCCCTGACAGACAGAACCTCAGTGAGCAGATGCCGGTTCCAGCTCTGCAGGTGTCTTCATTGCAATGCATTCCCGTCCATTTAGGTAACTAAAATCCTGTTCCCATTAAGGGAAAATTAAAAAAATTTTAAAATCTTAAAATTAAGATTTTAATTTTTAAATTTAATTTTTAAATTTAAATTAAGATTTA